TATCCGTTTTCCTACCAACAGTTGAGTTTTGCTGAAAAGAAAAGGGATTGGAACTCCTTTCTACAAATACGTTCAAGAGGTTGAGCTCCTTCTACAATTTTTTTCTGGATACGCCATGAGCATTTACAAGAGAATATATTATGAAAACTAACGATTTGTTCGATAATCATGTCATGAAGTGAATGTCTGGAGGAATTTATTATAGGAGTATGTAATGAATAGACGATAGAGTAGAGCAAGTTTGGTTCTTGATGTAGAAGGAGATTGGGTGAGTAAGCCTCCTACTTTTTCATGTTGTCTCTGAGAAAACTTCGAGTAACTGTTGGAAAACTGTCTAGCAAATATTTAATACCTTCCATGTCTAAAAACTATCGAGAAAGTGTGGGTATGAGTTGAGAGACAACTCATGCCCACAGGTCTCACCGGCTCTAAGAAGTATTGAAGTATATAGGATAGGAATTTGTTATAATATCCGGCCCTCTTCCCTACAAATCATGTCATACATTACTATGGAAACATCAGACGCCATCACAGATATGTTAGTAACGGCACATCACAGATGCGATTGGTATTTCTAACAATGCCTCCTGTTCATTTCAGACCGTGATAGATACTTTGTTAAAACTTAGTTACGGTGTGTGATAGATGCTTTTGGCATACGATCAAAGATTGTATATCAATTATGTCTCGTTACTGCTTCCTTATTACATTTTTGGAGGATTAAGTAAAATGATGGTAAAGAAATAGCGCATACAACTGATAGAATAAAACAATTTGACTGTGATTAACAACAGGAATTACATCGTGTTTTACTTTTTAGTTCCTGCAGGAATTGCACTAACCACTTTTAATACACTAGAGACAAAATAAAGGTTGTATCTCATAAACAGATGCACTGATCTACAGACCAGATTTGGTATGTGTCAGCATATTTTCAAAAACCTAGAAAATTATATTTAATAATCATCGTTTCCGAATAATCTCTACCATAGTAAATACGAAGTACCTGTATCTTGTCTTCATACAATGCAACCGAAAGTCAATATTATCGGAATTCTATATTGAACATTTGGTTTTTTATCATATTCCACAAACTAAAACTTCTTATTCAAAAAAAAACAAAAAATCCTGAAATTTTCTTATTAATACTTACTTAAACTAATTGATCGAACATATTATTTCGATCAATCTAAACCAATTATCCTATCTGAAATAAACAATAATAGACACAAAATTTTATTTCATACGAAAATATTCAATACAAAAAAAAAAGTGATCATTCAGCATTTTGCCGATTGGCAATTGCTTGTTTAACTCTTTCTTCTAACATGTCCATTTCAAAAATGAGATCTTTTATTGCATTTTCCATAGCATTTATTGGTGAATATTCATGTCCAGCTGTTTGTACACGTAAGATAACTTTATGTTCAAGTGGATGTGGAATTTTATAACCAGCAAATATAACTTCAGGATCTTTTAATAATTGTGCACGAAGCATATTTGCTAATGTATGATCTTCTTTACTTATTGTAAATACAACTGCATTCGGTACTTTTGTATCTTTTTCAACAATTATTTTCTTTTCACCATCTAATAATAAAAATGATTCAAAAGTTGCCGGAGCATTCATCTATAAATGGAATAAAGATCAATGTAACTCTTCAAAATACATCGATATAATTTTTTTGTTTTTTTTTTTTGAAAAGATAAGATTCAGAATAAGGCCTTGTGTATACACTGAAAAGTGAATTACATTAATTTCATTTTAAATAAAATTGCGTCCACACTAAGCACTTAAGCCACCAATGAAAATTCAGGTTAACCTCTCTAATGTAAGCTAAGTGCATAATGAACAAGTTGATGCATCGAGAGATGTCGTTCTGCTGTGTACGATTTTCATTGGAGAAGTACTAAACACATTTAAGGGGGGACCCCCACTCCGAAACCTATCTTCTAAACGATACAACAGATTTCGATGAAAATTTCAGGAAATATAAAAGCTAATATAACTAGCATTTGATAAAAATTTCAACCAATACGTTTTGATAATTAAGAAGTTATGCTCAATTTACTCATAAAAATAGAGCTTTTGGCACGGAGCATTTTTCCAATGCACGGAAGCACGAAAAATGTTGAACTTTGTTTCAAAATGAAGAAAAATCTTTTATCTAGAAATTGTTGGGACAGTTTTTTGAAATTCGTTTTCGTTCAATTGTAGTGATCATTTTAAACCGAAAATCGCAAAAACTGCTTTGAGCTGCTTCAAAGATTTTCAAATATCTAAACAATGGAGACATATTTTAAAAATCTGTTCCAACAATTTCTTGAAAAAAGTCTGATCTTTTGAATAAAAAAACATCAGAAATATACGTCAAAGGGTGGACTGGGAAAATGTTCCGCAGTGGTCAGTACGCAATAAAAACGTGAAGCTGGGAAAAACGAATTACAACATTCTGACGTGGTTCGTGATGTTCCTGTATAGAAAATAGGAGCATATTATATATCATTGAAAAGCGCATAAAAATTTCTTGCAGTTGATTGCATTTTCGAGAAAAAATGAAGCTGACTTCTTAAACTAAATTCTCAATTCAAGTTCACTCTAGCGCCATCTTTCCGAAAAAAATAACCCTATTTTGAAGCTTTTTTTATCAGATTGCAACACTCAAAACATGATTACTCAATAGGATGATGGTTTTATAGTGCCAATGAAGAAGATACAACGATATTAGTTATCAGTAATTAAGAAAAAAAAATCAACATAACCGTCGATTTTCCACTGTGGCTCCCAGTAAACGTGCCAAAATTGGGCAAAATATGTTCCATTCTTACACAATCTATACATATTCTGAAAGAGGACAGTCAGGGCTACAAGAAGATGTACTTTTCCAAAAATCGAGTTTTTCAAGAAAAATCGACTTTCGGCGTGGGGGTTCCCCCTTAAACGCTTGTAAAACCGATTGAAAAGACTTTCATGAGAAATTAATGTGGTTCTTTTTAATGAAAACTACATAAGATGAAAACGATACTAGTTGAGTTAAAGTCTTTCAAATATATTTGAAACAAGAAAAAATTTTAAATTAATCAATCCATATCGTCAACAATTTATTCTAAAGATCTGATCATTTGATGACAAAAAATATTGACAAGTTTTTTAAGGTGCCAGTAATGCAAAATTTGAGCACTCTTTATTTTTAACTCAAATACGCATCACTAGATTCAGTTTTCTCTGCTGATTACGGATATATCCTTATTTTTTTGATTTGGCAAAATTTTCGGGCAGAAAAATGCAAAATACTGAGGGGATGTCAAAATTTGCAAAAAA